CTGTGCTGTTAACACCTAATTACGATCAATCACGCGAAAGAATATGACGTCACGCAAAAGTCAAACATGTACTTACTGACAACAATAATCGAAACAAACGAGTGCATTTTGAGGACTTTTTGAAAATAGATTGAATAAATACTACACCTATAAAAACATTTGAATAACAGTTATTTCAAAAATATTCTTCTATTGTTGTAAGTTCAAAGAGCTCAACAATGGAAAGGATGGTTATTGCCAAATGAATCCAGCGCTCCAGCCAGTTATGCATTAACGACACTTTTCTGTCACATCCTGATTTCCTAGGTCATTTAACATACCACCTCTTCTTTTTTTATTATCTTAGTCACCTGTTTTTAAAAAATGAAATGAGGTATTCACTTTTTTTTTCACTTTGTTTCACAGAAACTGGGAAGGCGAGTTAAAAGTTTAGACAAAAAGCCAAACTGGAGTGAGGCCAAAAAAGCCAAAGTGGCTAAAGTGCTGACTATTGATTATATGTCCAGCGAGGAAAGTGGAGAAGAGGAAGATGAAAATGGCAATCAAAGAAGAGTCTATGTCGTTCGGCCACTGCTATGGGAGAGTGTGGATTTGAAACGGAAAAAGCAGTCTTTAGACAAATATCATATTTCCACTCTTCCACAACTCGTGCGAAGACGAATTTCTCCACGAGAGAAAGGAAATCCCTCTACAAGGTCCAAACCAGACGGATGCCCTGAATGGGCCTCTAATTCTTAGTTATTCCGTATTTCTTCTAAATAAGTAGTAATTATAATTTAGTTTTCTTTTTTTCCTTCATACATATAGAGATATAGAGATATACATAATAAGTAGAATAAGAAAAGAACCAGCAGAGCAGGCAATTACTAATTGTAGCAATCTTATGATTATAAGACGTTTCGACCTTCCTCAGATATTTTACTGTAACAACTTGTTCGTTAAACAAACAATTTGAATATAGAAGGCTAACGACGATAGCAACGACAATATATCAAATAACGCGCATATGTATATATATATATATATATATAATAAATGTATGCCCTTCCATATAACCTATCTTTAATCATGCACATTAAAGAACGGTATATGAGTATATCCTCTTGTACCTTTACAAAAAGATAAAGGTGTGTAAAGGTATATATGTCTGTCATTTAATCACAAGATTAAAGCAAAGTATATATGGCCCTTCACATTCCTTTAACACGCATTTATTCAGCTACATTAAAGCCTCCACTACTATGCTTTAATCACCATGTGTTATACGCATGTAAAGAAATGTTTCACTCCTTTAACAACTTTGCTTCAAGACGAGTAAATCAACCATTACTATACCTTTAAAATGCCTTTAATTGTATTTATAGATTATTGTTCGCCCTGTGGTACACTTGCACATACTTGCACACACTCACCAACACACTTACACACATTTACACACATTTACACACAATTGCATACAAACTTCCACATACTTAGACAAACTT